TAAATCTGCATCAGTTTTGGAAGTATGCCCATTCTCACTATATTGATTCTGTGGTATCCAAGAACAGGGATCATATTTATATATATATATATATTTTTTGGTATTTTCTTCCATCTCCTTTTTCAGAGTACTTTAATTTTCAATGTAAAAGTCTTTCACTTCCTCCATTAGATCCATCCCTAAATATTTTTCATTCCATTGTGAAAGGTATGGATGCCCTAATTTGTGCCTCAATGAGTTTGTTATTGGTGTACCAGAATGCTATTAACTTTTGAGTGTTGACTTTGTATCCAGTTATGTTAACTAAATTTGGTTATTAAATCTAGAAGTCTTTTGGTGGAGTTTTTTGAGATCTTCTCTGTAGAATATCATGTCATTCACAAATAATGATAATTTAAATTTTTCCTTTTTTATCCTTGTTCCTTTTATTTCTTTCACTAGTCTAACTGCTCTGGCTAATGTTTCTAGAACTATATTAAATAAAAGTGGTGACAGTGGCAACCTTGCCTTTTTCCTGATTTCAGAGTGACAGCTTTCAGTTTCTGTCTATTTAGTATGATGTTAGCTGTTGGTTTGTCATGTATGGCTTTTATTGAATTGACATAAAGACCATATATTCCAATTTTCTGCAGTGTTTTTATCATGAATGAGTATTAGACTTGGTCAAAGCTCTTTCTGCATCTGTTGAGATGATGGTGTGATTTTTGTCCTTGGGCCTGTTAATATAGTGTATCATATTATTGATTTGCATATATTGAATTATCCCTGCATTCCTGGGATAAATTCTACTTGGTAATGGTATATCATCTTCTTGATGATTTGCTGCCTTGTTTGCCATTTTCTTACTGAGGATTTTTGCATGGCTTACTAGGAGGTTGACCTACAGTTTTCTTTTCTGCTTGGATCCTTCTGTGCTTTTGGTATCAGGGTAATGCTTGCTTCCAGTTTGGGAATATTGCTTCTTTTTCAATTTCATCAAAGAGTTTAAAGACTAGTGGTGTCAGGTCTTCTCTAAATTTCTTGTAAATTTCAGCTGTGAATCCAACAGGATCAGGGCTTTTTTTGTTCGTATGTTTTTAATTAATTTCATTGATTAATGGGTTACTTAGAATTTTTATGCCTTGATTCAGCTTTGGTAACTCATATGGACCTAGGAATCTGTCTATTTCTTCTCTATTTTCCATCAAATTAGTATTTGGTGTATATATATCTGTGATTGTTATTCTCTTGGATCGTTCCCTTAACAAGGATGTAGTGACCTTCTTTGTCTTTGTCTTGTCTTTTTTGATCGGTCATGGCTTGAAATCTACTTTTTTTTTTTTTACAAATAGAATAGCTATCTCTGCTTTTTTTTCTGACTTCCTGTTGCATGGAATATTATTTTCCAGCCCACGACTTTCAATCTATGAATTTCTTTTTCAGTTAAATATGTTTCTTGAAAGCAGCATATAGTTAGATCTTGTTTCTTGATCCATTCTGCAAATTTTTTTTGTTTGGTGAATTGAGATCATTTACATTGATGTTATAACTGACTTATCCTTGTCATGTTATTTTCCTATTATTGGTTCCCTTTCTTTCCCCTCTGTTTAATTACTTTCTTTGCCTTGTGTATTTCTTCTGTTGGGGTAAGTGGAATTGTAGTCTTCATTGTCTCTTTTGGTGGTCATGAATTTCTTCAGTATTCTTTGTCATGGAAGTATCTTATTTCTCTATCAATTTTGAATGATAGTTTTGCAGGATACATTCTGGATTGGAGGTTATTTTCTTTTAGGGCTTGAAATAATTCACTCTAAGCTCTCCTTGACTTGAGGATTTGTGTTGAGAAGTTGGATGCGATTCTGATGGGCTTTCCTTAATATGTGATTTGGTTTTCTCTAACACTTTTTAACAGTCTGTTCTGGCATTGAATTCTGGAGTCTTGACTATTAATATGCCTTGGTATAGATTTTTTAATCATAGCTATTTGGAGTTCTGTCTCACTTTTCTGTGTCAAATTTTTTTTCCCTGTTTGGGAAGTTTTCTGCCATTGTTTCTGTGAATAGATTTTTTATATCAAAAAAAATTTTTGTATAATTTTTGCAAACTCCTGCTTTTTCATTGATGCCAATTAATCTTATGTTATTCTTCTTTGTGTCATCTAGCAGCTGTTGGATTGACTTTTTGTGGATCCTTGCTATTTTAAAGAAATCTTTCTTTTCATAATCACTAACTGTAATCCTAGCTTCTGTATCTGATATTCTGTCCTCACATTGGTTCATTCTGCTTCATATATTTCAATTAATCTTCCGGATATCAATTTGAATCTGTTTCATGGTTTCTATTTCTTTCCTTAAACTCTTTTATTCTTTATCTGTATCTAGTCTAGGTTGACTAACTATGTCCTTCATTATGGTCATTATCTCTGTAGTTATCTGAAAACTTATTTCTCATTTGCTTTTTTTTTCTATACTCTCATTTATCTGCTTTGTTTCTTTCACTGTAACCACTTCAGAGAGCCCAGATGGGTGACTTTTGAATTGCTCCATCTCATTGCCCCCAAATTTGACGTTAGTGAGCTAGAATTCCAGGATTACATCTTGCTTCTGTGTCTTCTTATTTTCTGTTTACTTTTAGTTTAATTCCTGCATTGATGGTTGTAAATTGTTTATGATAGGAAGTTTTATTGCTATTATCCAGAACCCTTAAATGATTACTTCTCAGAGAGTACAGTCTTACAGTGTAGCTGGCTTTTGGGTTTTGAGTCTGTTGCAAGATCCTACCTCTTCAATTTATTGTGAATGAAAAATTGCTGCCTATTTGGCCTCGCCTCTAGTTCTTTGTCACTGGCCTACAGGATTGTTTATGACAATCTCAGTCTTTGCATACAAGGAAAACTTGTTAGAACAACTGTGCCACCTTAGCAAAAGCATACAATCAGCAGTAACAACAGTGTCAAAGTCAGCCTGTAAAATGACAAAGAGTGGTAACTATTGACACCTTTAACATATGGACAAGGTTTGTAGTTATATAACAAAATCTAAAACAAACCAGAAAATATGAAAATTTTTCCCTAAGGAGCAAACTTAAAAGAGGTTAATGGAAAAAATAGAGAAAGGGAAAGAGATTAGAAACAAGGCTGGAGGACAAGGGAAATTTATGCAAGCTTTGGGAACGTAGTAAAGAAGACAGAAGGGAACAGAAGAAACAGAAACAAGAATAACAATAAAACAAAAACAAAACAACAATTTAAAAATTTAGAAACAAGCTGAACATGCCTGTAATCCCAGCTCTTTGGAGGCTAAAGCAGGAGGATCAGTGTAAGCTCAAGTTCATTCTGAACTGCATAGTGAGACACTGTCCCAAAAAAAACAAAAAATCCCCCCCAAAACAACCAAAAAAACTAGAAACAATGTTCACACTTGTGTAAGGAAGAGAGAGAACAAACAAGAAAAAGAGGAGCCTAAAAGAAAGAAAGTAAAGAAGGAATAAAAATGTCCTCTTCAAGGCATGTCTCTGCTTTTATTGGTAGACAGAGGTAAACAGAGCCCAAATCTGTGTTGTTTCATCCCAGCAAACCAGAAGTAGAATTATGTTAGGGTGGTGGGTAATCCCAGCAAGTCTAGACCTTTGGTTGCACTGAAGTTCAGGCTGTTTCTGGTTTCTGGCTGTGTCCAGTTGTCTAGTCCAGTCCAGTCCTGGGGTCCAACTCATTCAGGCTGCAACACTCTGGGTACTTCCTACAGGCTTGGCCTTCACTTTCTGACCGCCTGCCAGTGTGAACTCAGCTGTAACTCACTGTGACACTGGAAGCTGTTTGGCGGAGCCAACCTGTAGCTGCTCTGAGTTCTAAATTCAGTTGGACCCCTTCCAAAATGGCAGCTGGCCAATCGCCTTCTTCTGAGGGAGATCTAAGTTGGAAAATCTCACCAGCCACTGCAGTTTGCAGCATCTGCTGCTCCCTTCCACTGGTGCTTTTCTCCATGGAAACTGTCAGGTCACCAGTAGTCACTGTATATCAGCAGGTCTAAGCTGCTCCTCCCATGAAGCCAGGGCTGGGGGAAAGTGCCTTTTGCCTGTTCCATCTTCTGTGTTGAAGTCTCTCTTTCCTCTCTCCCTATGGGTTTCATTTCTCAATTCAGATCATTGCTGGACCCTGGGGGTCCACTTTCCTCCTCCTTCTCTTCCTCATATCGCTGTATTCCAGAGTCTGGACTCCAAATCTCAGAGAGGTTGTTTGTCTGCTGCTCATGACTCCACCATCTTCCTGGAATCTTCCTTGAGTCTTTGAATTATTTTCTTAGTCTCAATGACATTAATGTCTGCTCTAATCTTTATAATTTCCTTCCTCATATGAGCTTTGGGTTTCACTTGCTCTTCCTTTTGTAGAACCTTGAACTTCAACATAGGTTATTTCTTTGAGCTTTCTCTGTTTTTCTGATGTGCATGGGAACTCATTCATGTTCTCAGCCATTCTGAACCCTTGGCCTGGGCTGGGGAACACTCGGAAAACCAAACACATGTTAAACCTGGTCATTTCACTCAGTCCTGAACTGGAAACATAATCAAAATAATTTAAAATTGAAATATTGTTACTGTGGTCCTGTGTGATCACAGTCTTGTTAATATATATTAACAAGTAGGACATGCAAGGGAAGAAGAGACCCTGAAAGGTAGTCACTCCAAGCAAGAGGGAAGAGGGGTGTCTTCAGGTGCCCCAGGACAGCAAATATCATAAGCAGCCAGGAGATGCTTGAGCTACGGTGGGGAAAAGGCCACCTGGTCACGCACATCCCCGAGCAAGGGACTATGAGAGGCCCTGCCAGGTCCTCTGCCTTGGGCTCCAGGTGCCTGGGGCTGCTGCTTTCTAAGCACAAAGTTAGAAAAGGCACAGCCAGGCTGTGGAGGAAGCCTGATGCTCAGAGCAGCATGGTGTCAGCTTGCAAGGCCTTAGGGTTACCAGTCAGTCACCAGATTGGGCAAACTGTTATCTGAGATGGCTGTCTGTTCTTTTGAACTCACAGAGCTGGCCACCATGGAGATGGCCCCCTCCTTCTCCAGTGTCCTGAAGGACTGCACAGTCATCGAGGGCCAAGATTTTGTGCTACAGTGCTCTGTGCAGGGGACCCCAGTGCCACAAATCACCTGGCTACTCAATGGTGAGTCCCTCACTTTGCCCCAGCCCTCAAGCCCTTTGACCCTGCCTTCATTCTCACATCTCACTCTTAACTGTGTACCCTCTACGGGCACAGGGCACAGCAAATACAGGAATCAAGTCTGCTGCCAGCTGGCTGAGCATGTTTACAATCTGCCAGTACTGTGTGTTCTTCAGCTGCATGGTGGCAGCACTGCCACTGACCTTGCAGGGTGGTGGTATGAGATCAAATTATATAAAGTGGTCAGTGAGATCCCTGACATGCAGGTGAATGAGCAGTTTAATGTCTTTCCCTCTGGTCAGACTCATAACAGGTCCTCATTAAATATTTGTTGAGTCAGTACATAAACATATAAATGAACAAATTAATGAGCCACAATACAAGTTATTCAAGGAATCTTGCCTTTTATTTAACAGCAGGTGCTTCTGAGGTTCCAGGCTAGTAATTATGTTTTTATGATAATTACAATCCATGATACATGCCAACTCTTTTTTGGTTTTTAGCCAAGTAAGGTCCTTTGAAAAAATTAATTACCAAATATCATCACCCTTATCTTTTAAAAAAAATTTTCAATTTCAAAAGTGTGCTACAACTCTGATTTGATAATGGGGAAGTCCATTCAATGGATGAGCCTGGGTAGGGTCTGCACTGGGGAGATGGACAAGCGGAAGTTTCCCTTCTGGCCCAGAGTCTACAGAAGTGGTGGTAAATCTGTGGTGTGCGTGCTGCTACAGCAGATTGTTGGTTGTCACTGGAAGCTCTGAAAGGTTCCCCATCAGGGTCTAGAGCAAGGCTTAATATACATTCCTCTGAAGGACCAAACAGTAAACCTCTTCAGCTTCTGTGGTCACCCAGTCTCTGTGACAACTACTCCACTCCATTGTCACAGCTTAAAAATAGCACAGACGGTATTTGAATGAATGAGGGTAGCTGTGTTATAATAAAGCTTGATTTAGGATCACCGAAATATGAATTCCATGTAGTTTTCACATCTTGAAATTTTTCTCCTTTCACATTTTCCAGCCATTTAAGATATGTAAAAGTTACTCTTACCTGGTAGGTGCGGTGGAGACCGGCCACGGGTCAGATTCGGTCCAGGGCTGCGGTTTGGTTTACACGCGCTTCAAACCCTCAGGGCTGAGGCCTTGGTAGAGCTCCGTGTTTCTGCACCCTTCCCACTAGAGGGCGATCTTGCTCAAATTGGGTTTTGTTGGTTTCAGCGCTGGACCAGCCCAGTGTCCGTGCTGGGGAAGTTTCAAGACTCCCAATTCCAGAGTACCCCCGAGTCTCCAGCTCCTTTGGGGGAGCCTACGTGCCATCCCTGGTTGTGGGACTGAAACGAGTTGCGCTCCGATAAATGGAGAGCTCTCGCAGAGCTTGCCAGCCCATGTGTGGACTGCAGAGGCTCCTCGGTGACTGTTGGGGAATGAATGTGCTGGTGATTTCAAGGAAGGGGTTTGGGGGAGGTGTCATTGTCACAAAGAATAAAAGCAAAGAGCCGTATTCAGGCCTTTCCGTGGCAGGATCCCAGCCCCTGCCTTTTCCTACCCTGCTTCATTTCAGGGACAGCAGTGGGTTGCGAAGGCGTCTCCCCTCCAGCCCTGGAGAGTGCTTGGCTGCCTCCTGGCCAGACTGTCACAGAGACATGAAGTGTTGCTATGTGCAGAAGAAAACACTGCATTGCAGGCAGAGCATTCAATGTCTCCCTCCCCACCACCCACCCCAGAGTTTATGAAGTGCAAGCCAGGACCACAGGGCCTGGCAGGGGAAGGGACTGACAGTTGCTTCCTATGTGGCAAACAGACACATTCCTGCTCTAATACCGGAGTCTGCAATAGTGAGATCATTTTTTTCCCCTTAGAAATAAAAGGTCATGTCCTGGAGTGATAAAATCTCAGAAACATACAATGTTAAGGAACCTACTAAAGTGCCCTATAAGCATTTCTATCTGCATGCAGGACTTTGGTCAAAGATCAAGGATTCCTCGTAGAAGACTAGTCATTCTTAGTTCCCTATAGCTGTCTTTTCCAGGGTGTTAAGATGCTCCTACCTGCACAGAAGAAACAAAGCTGATTGTGACACTGGGGTGAGAATGCACAATTGCTTTCGATAAAAATCTACAACGGAAAGGGAACCTTCTTTTCTGGAGACATCTGAAAGGAACTGAGAGCCACATGTTGAGTCTGGGCAAAGTCTACTCTGCCAGAGCCTGGGCCAGGGGCCAAATGACCCAGTAAGATTCTTTCCAGGCACTAAATTCTGTGAAGCTGAGGATGCAAAATGGATACTGTTTTACATACAGATTGCCCCGATCTGTGTCTCTTTCCCGCCTGCCTTCCAGATTCATCCAGAATCCTTTCCCCTCGTGTTTCCAGTCTCAGTCTTGCTCACCATGGACATGGGCCAGCTCCAGCACTGGCCCCGATGAGCACAGAGCTCCTGTCCTGTCCCAGGCACCCCGTCTCAGCCTCCCTGTACTTTTTCCCCAGGACAGCCCATCCGGTACGCACACTCTACCTGCCAGTCTGGCATGGCTGAGCTCCACATCCAGGACACCCTGCCAGAGGATGACGGCATCTATACCTGTCTGGCTGAAAATGCCTCAGGCCAAGTGTCCTGCAGCGCCAGGGTCACCGTCCGAGGTAAGAACCTCCAGGCACTTTGCGGAAAGCCCCTTTCCTGCCGCCTGGTCTGGCAGCTCTGGAGAAAGGACGTTTGTAGAAAAGGATATGATTGGCACAAATCCAGGAAGTGGCGGTACACAGGGCGTTACTGCAGGCCACAACGGTGGGCACTTCTGCTGCCACAGAAGAGAAGCTGCAGGAACCTGGGGGCCGAGGAGAGGTGCCTTAGAAAGTCTGTGCCTGATGGAAGTTCACACTGACGAGGGTCTGCCATGGTGGAAGCCAGACCTTTACTCTGCTGATGCCATGGGAAATTCAGGGGAAGGAGGCAAGGGACCCTGATCCCCAAACTCCTGAGGGCCCCCAAGCTTCTGGCCTGGTAGGGAAAAAACCACCTACTCGGCAAGAAGATCTGGGGGGGGGTTCTCACAAATGAGCACTGGGCCCTGGGAACAGCGTGTGTGCACTGAGGCTGCTGGAGAATCGGAGGTTGCCCCTTTTGTCCGCCCTCGCTCCTCCCACCACTCACTGTTCACTTTTCTCCATCACCAGCCTGTGCCCAGTAATCTGATTATCACAGGCATCCATTGTTCAGCCAAGCACTTAGTCCTCAGGAGTCACAGGAGCCACAGACTCCAGACTCATCCACCTGGGCTGTGGGTTTGGAGGGCACGGCAGCAGTTCCCAGGGAGGTGCTTCTTGAGTCTGGGCCTTCAGGTAAGCCTGACTCTCACCCTCACCTTAGGTCTGTGCTCCCAGGGCCTGAGCATGACTGGGTCCTCTGGTGCTGGGCTGCATGTAGCGTGTCTGCTTTCCCATTGAGCTCGCAGCAGACCTCACCTCCTCTGTCATTGTGCCCCGCCCTAGATCTCAAGAGAGCCCCTGCAATGGGAGTAGCCACCTCTGGGGGCTGCAGGAGATGGCCTCTCAGAAAAGAAAAGGGGCACAGCCCACTATTTGACCTCTCCTATGGCACTGCTGGGGCCCTCCACAGCTCAAGAAAGGGTCGCTGTCCCTGTTTTGCACAGAAGTATCTAGAGGTGTTATGAAATCAGTGTCACTCTGCCAAGTGCACCATGCGGGCAGCAAAGCTGGCCTTCTGAGCCAGGCCTTGGGATGGTAATACCCGGGCTCATCCCATAGCTGCTCTTTTGCGGGGCTGCTATGCCCTGCATCGCCCCTGCCCCAGAGCGAGAGCTGGCCCACCTGAGGTGGGCCCCATCTCTTCCCTGCAGACAAAGAAACTGGTACCAGTGGAGAATGTGGCCCACACTGGCTCTCTGAGGCTCCCTGTCGGGAGTAGACCCAGATTTCTCTGAAGAGTTGCCCTTGCATGGAGTCCTCAGTGAACCAGGCTGCCCCTTCCTTCCAGGAAGCCCTCTGTGCTCCAGCCAGAGCCACGCTAGCCCCTGCAGACCCTGAGCTAGGGTTCTGTGTACACTTTTATCTCATTTATCCTCTGTTCTAATTCCACGGCTTGGAGGCCTCAGGAGACTGTACTGCAGGACTTCCGAGGAAGCAGGAACAGCTCAAGGCCTGGTCTTCTGACCCTTCCCTTCTCTGAGGTCCCCACCCACCACCCCTGGTCAGGCTCCTAATGGCACACGGTGGCCTGGCCACGCAGTTCTGCCTTCTTTCCGATGTTTCCTTTCCAGCTCCCTCTCACCAGGACCGCAGCTAATCCAGCACCTGCCCTGAGTTGTCTTTGCTTAGATTGGATTAGACAGAGCCAGCTGAGCTAGTTGTGGAGCTGGGGTCCCTGGATGAGTGATCAAGATCTCTTTGGGGCTATTCTCCGGAGTCCTAGGGTGACTGCCCGTGCAGATGCATGGGAAAGGGCAGGAGAGAGGCTCTAGCGGGAACTCTGCTGGAGTCCGGGTTTGCTCCTAGCAGCCTGTGCCTGTGAGCGCTCCTCCATGGGGGAATTTATGACCCATCAAGCCAGACAGGCTCAGATACCATAAATGGTGAACAAGGCTGGGAGCCACAGCTGCACGCGGGCCCAGCGGCATGCGGGCTGCCTCTGCCTGGGGTTGGCAGGGGGAACCTGGCAGAGGGACACCCCTGGCACTGTGTCCAGGCCCTCAGCCAGCTCAGGTCTGTGGCCCACACCATCCTCAGCTGCGGAATTCTTGCTGTCTTGGCTGCTTTTCTGGCTCCGAGTCCTCAGGTGCTGGTGAGGACACTTGCCCCCCACTACTGGCTGACTGCTTCTTAGGGTGGCACCTGGCTGTGACAGGAAAGAGAAGGGGCCGGGACTGCTCATTGAGAAGCCTGCCGACCACCCCTGCCACCCCAAGTTCACTCCCAGGCCTCTTCAGTGCGCCCGGGGTAAGAGCCACTCACAGTTAGGTCAGGAATGAATGAACGGATGAGTGAACATGCAGTGTTCCCAGAGTAAGGCAGCACTTAGCTAGTGTTCGCTATTAGGACAACTGTCGAACTTTTACACGGGGTAAAATGCACTTTGGCGTGCTCTTACCCAGGATCAGCTCTCCTGTTTGTTCAGCAGAAGAGCAAATCCGGGAAGGGAGATTGGACAAGGACCTAGTCAGACTCCATCCGGTGCTGAATTCCAAGGCTCTGACCGCAAGATGGCGCCGTTCAGCAATGCATTGCCCTCTGCTCTGTCCTACCGGAGGACCTGTCTCTCAAGACAGTGCTGCTGGGGCCCAAATCTGACAGTTCAGCAGACCTGGGGACCTACCCGTTCTCACCACTGTATGCCCTTTCCCCGAGGTCTTTCAGGCATCCAGGGCGCTGGCCTGACCTCCCCTCTGCGAGTGTCTCTCCCCTGGAGGGCTCCCACAGATGCTCCTTTCTCTGAGCAGCCTTCCCTCCCTGCCTCAGGATGAGTTCTGACACTGGGGCTTCCCTTATCACATTTACTGCCAGCAAATCTCTGCTGTGCCAGGCATGTTCTGGAGAAACTGCTGTGCACAGGTGGAGAGGGTCCTTCCTTCGCAGTGCTGGCATTCCGATGGGGACAGGGCAGCGGGCAGCACCTGCTTCAATTGCAAATGCTGGCAATGTTACTGATAAGATTAGCAGGACATGAGAAGATATGGGCAGAACAATACATTCTTAGTTGCATGATGAAAAGACTAACAAGCTGTGGGGAGGGGGTCAGGTATTTAGCTCAGTGGTTTAAGCTCTTGCCTGGTAAGTGTAAGGTCCTGAGTTTGATCCCTGGTACCAAAAGCTTCGAGAAAGAGTATTCTAGGTAAGAGATACAGTAAGTGCAAAGGCCCTGAAGCAGGAACAAGGCTGGCTGATTCCAGGAACAGCAAGATGGCCAGTGTGGCAGGCAGAGTGATTTGCAGGACTCTAAGAGTCAGAAAGAAAAATTTTACTTAGGAATTTTACTGTAATTGATTGGCTCATTGCTTTAATCTCCCTGCAGGAGGGCCTATGTTTTCCTCACTATTTGTGTGGAGCAGGGCGTGCTGTTTGAGCATGGGTTCAGGGCTGGCCAAGGAGACAGGCTAAGGCCAGGCTAGTGTCCCCTGTAGGTAGACACACTATCTCTCAACTTCCTGCCCTGCTCCCTAGCTCTTAAAAGGCCCCTAACAAACATGTCTTCTTTCTACCTCAGGCTGGGGAAGAAGAGATCCCCAGAATTAACCAGACAGTGATCCCTCCTAGCCCAAAGTTAAGCCTATTGGATGATTACCCCAAATTCTTGCAGAGCCAGGAACATGAGAACTGCCTTAAGTCACTAATTAGACTGAATCATTGGGAGGGGGTTTCCTTGGGCTAAAATATTTTAAATGTATTTTCCCCTGTGGTGACTTTGTCAAGGTCAGCCTTCATAAGTGACTGCATTGATTAATAATATGAATTTTGCTCATTTTGCCATAGTTCCTCAGCCTAATGGTTTGTTTATTTAACTGGAGGCCCGCTGGGCCTATTAGAGGTACCTAAGCACAGATGATGTAGGTTAAGTTTAAAAAGGAAAGAAAAAGCTGATCTCGCGAATAAAAGTAAAAATCAACAGGCCTATTTATCAGGGGATTTGCTTGGACGAAGAGCTGCCACGGAAGAGAGCAGGCCCAGCAAAGGCAGGCACATGCGTCACACTGCAGATGTCAGGGAGAGAGGATGTCTTTTCCCATCAGCACCAGACATCTGGAGCCCCCTAGCTCTCCCCACACTGTGAGCAAGTGCTGTGAACACTAAACAGTCTGTCCAGTTGCCTGACCTCTGCTTGCTGTGAACTTTGCAATAACGCAACTTGTTACATACTCACATTGTTTACAGAGAAATTTACTGAGGCTGGGTAAACATTGATTTTAACCTGTCCTTTAAAAATATATTAAGAAATTTGTCTACCCCAAAACATCTGTTCTTCAGCCTTTTAAACTCTAAGAAGATAATAAAACATTGTCAAGATATAAACAGTATTTTATATGTTAAATCCAGAGTAGGATTTGTGTAGCAGGTGGATCCTTCGTGTCACAAATTGATGCACAAGGGTACAGATGTGTTTATTTGTGCACGCATCACAGATCTGGAGCCTCACTGTACCAAATGGACAAATATAGAGATTTCTATTTCTGCAGCCTGTAGGAGGTCCTATATACCATTTCCTTGCTTGAAGACGTCATTCAAAAATGCAGTCCAGAATCAAAGCATTGTACCCCCAGTAGCACAACCAGGCCTAGAGTATGTTTCTGTGATGAGGAGTGTGATTTCCAGGCCCACTGGCAGGGATGCTGGGGAGGTTTAGACGTTACACTTCCCCGCCTAGCATGGGGTTAAGCCTTGTAAGCGCATAAGAAGGCCATGATTGCAGAAATCCCCGTCTCTCTTCTGGCCACCCTACCATTGCTGGCTAGGGATCTTTTGGGGGTGTCATACGTCATGTTCCTTTCATTCTTTTCTTTGCACACTTCTCTCCCCACTTGCTGCTTGGATTCTGGAGAAGTTGATGGGAAGAAGGAAGGCCACAGAAAGCAGGGCTACTAGAAGAAGAATCTTTTCTAATGCCATAAAAGTAGCCCTTTGGCTGATTGTGC